GGGGTTTGCAGGGGTTTGCACTGATTGCAACAACAAAATTTCCTATAAAAAATATGATTATAAATGTGCAGTATTGAAAATTTCTTAAAATGGGCCCTGACAATTTCATACTAAGAGCGAGAAATGCCTCATGAACAAGGTTGATTCAGGAAAAGCAGAGGAACATGAGATCAAATTGCAAACATCAGGAGATTAATTGAAACGACCAGAAAATTCCAAAAGAGTGTTTACATGTGTTTCATTGATTATAGTAAGGCATTTGATTGTGTGGACCACCAGGCCCTCCTGAATTGCTTACGGAAGATGGGCATTCTAGAACATTCTGTTACGATAATTCTGTTACGCGGGTTGTACACAGATCAGGAGGCAACAGTAAGAACTATGTATGTAAATACAGGTTGGTTCAAAATCAATAAAGGTGTAAGGCAAGGTTGCATCTTATCCCCATTTCTGTTCAACTTGTATAGCAAAAACATAATGAGAATAGCTGGTCTTGACGAAATAGAACATGGAATTAGGATAGGCAGTCGATAACCTTCGATATGCACATGACACCACGCTGCTGGCGGAAACAGAAGGTCTCAAATTGCTGCTAAATAATGTGAAACAAGAAAGCGAGAAAGCTGGGCTTCGGCTCAACATTAAGAAAATGAAAGTAATGGCTACATCAAGTGAGCTGGAAGAATTTAAAATTGGGGACGAAACAGTTGAAGTCGTTAGCTTTATATACCTCGGTGCTAAAATAGAAAGAGGAGGAGGTTGCACAACAGAAATTATCAGACTGATTGGCATGGGCAAAGCGGCGATGACAGGTCTTCCTAGATGAAAGATAAAGAGATATCAATGCATACGAAAGTGCGCTTAGTGACTGGCATTAGTTTTCCCTGCAATGGTGTATGGTTGTGAGAGCTGGACAATCAGAAAAAGTGAGAGAAGGAAGATTGATGCGTTTGAGCTATGGTGTTGGCGTAGAAGATTGAAAATATCATAGACAGCAAGAAGAACAAAGAAGTCTGTTTTAGAAGAAATAAAGCCAGAAATTTCATTAGAAGGCATGATTGTCAAAAAAGCGCTGATTTTTTTCGGACATGCGATACGAGCAAGAGGGATGGAAAAAGATATTATGTTATGAAAGGGAGAGGGGACAAGAAGACGAGGCAGCGTTTAAAAACGAGGCATTTTCATACTTCGCCTTTAAGAAAAATTGTAGTTACACATTGTTGAGATTGGGCACAGCCTTATGTGGTGATATTAAAAAGAGCTTTTAAACTCACTGTTTCCAGGGATTGTACCGAAGATTTCCTGTTTACAATGAAGTGAAAGAGCGTAAAAATCCCAGCCTTCAAAAGTGTGCTGTGCTCTGATATTTTGTTCCTATCTTAAGTATGGTACTGGTATACGTTAAACGAAGTTGATGCAACAATCTGACGTTGTGTGTCTCTTGTATGGGTCTTTCTTCGATGGGCTTTTTTCCAGGAGGCGTTTAAGGTTTCGTTTGCTGGAAGCAATATAACAGATGAATCTTTCATTTCAAATATTACCTATGTTATTTAAACAAATTTGTTCTTCCTTGCTAATTCGCATTCAAATCATCATGAACTATCAAAAATTAGGCTCTGCAAGACCACCAATTCGTCCGAAATGTTTTGATGCCCAGATTTTGTAATCACATGTTTAGAATGTGCTATCTTCGTTTTTAGGGAGGTCATTAACATTTGTGCCAAAGGGAGACATCATTCAACTAAAAGGTATCCCATAAAATATCAAGCTTGCCTTTTTTGTGTACCTTTTCTGCCAAGATCCTGTTTATTTTAATTCAAAATGTGGATTGAGCCGTTATTCGTTTTTCTTCATATCAAAATATGGATGGAGGGATGTTCATGTTGAGCCATTATCAATCACGATTTCATTTTTTTGTTAATTTGTATAGTTTATTGTTTACTTAATCAATTTTCTTGAATCGAACCAACCAATTTGTTTTTACCTAATATAATTTTTTCTTTTTCTAGATGATGAAAGATTGGATATGGATGCATATTTGAAAGATTTTTACTTGCATAAAGATTTGCAAAACTATGACAAAAACTCACCTTGAAATTTGAAGTATGTTGAGCAATAATTTTGCTTTAATAATAATTTCGTCGTTCCTTAAAGTACATCATAGACAATTTATCGATTTTACCTGAAAAATGTTTTAAAGTTTTTTCCTTTTGCTTGCTTTTTTTAACCATTTATTCTAAGCCTAAGCGCTCTTGGTATAGCTATCATTCTAGAAAATGTGATTTATCTTTGGTTTTAGCCCTTATAGCAGCGAAAGTCCAGCTGAATTGTTTACAATAATAAGGAAAACCAAAAAGTTGTTTAACACTGCTGAATTTTGTCTGAGGCATGTGTCGTTAATGTCATCTACGTCTGCGCATGCGTCGGACCTCATACTGATGACCTGAGAGCCTCGCACCAATAGGACTGCTAAATGCAGTAGCAGAAAGAAGAGTTGGGTCCGAAACCAGTGAACAAGTCACCTGGTTCAAGGTCTTTCTTGATGGCTTTTTTTCAGCAAGCAAGGACATTGATTATTTTATCTGTCAACAACACTATTTTACTTTATTGGTCAAAGCAGAACACATATGCAGTCTGACAGTTCAAAGCTGAGCTTTCAGTCTACTATTCATAATAAGCAGAGTTGCAATTATTTTTAACAAATCGTTGTGTTTTCACCCGCGATGAACGTTTTACGTTCTATGCGTTGTGAAAACCAAGGTCTCATCTTTCTTGAGTAGCCCTCTTGTGTTTTTTCTGCAATTTATCACTATGCATCAAAATTCATCGATGTAATAGCTTTAATTTCCTAACACCTGACGCATGAAGAAAGTCGTCATTTTCAAATCAACTCTGCGCATTTCTTTGATTTCTCATAGGCTTTTTCTTTTTCGAGCACTTGGTCTGTGCATGCAGACCCACATGTTCAACTCTTGCCCTTCAAAGACCAAGGTTATGCAACGAATGATACTCAAATCGACTGCTGGTGCCCCAATAAAAAAAGGAAAGAAAGACAGCTATTAGAAACAAGTGGTATTTCCGTGCAAAATAATTCTTTGGTACCCGAAACGACTTTTATTCGACAAAGATCCATTTTCGACTTTGTAGCTCACAACTGATGCCTTTGCCATTATTGCTAAAGGCTTGAGCCATCTGTCAACCCAAATTGACCAATCAATAAGCGTTGTTCGACTCACACGTTTATTGATTGGCCAATAGTTCGCTGAAAAATGCCTCAAGCAACTGTCAATCAACTTTAGTATCCGTTGACTGCCTTTTTAGCGACTTTTCTAATACGAGATTCACGTATTCTACTTCTCTTTCTCCCTTAAAAAGCTTGTGGAATAAAAAATTTGACATTCGTCACTGAGACTCTGAAAGATATTGACAAAACATCACGACAAGCCGCTATTTGCCATTTACGAACTGTTCTATGCTTTTGCTTTATAGTCACTGTCGTGAACGTATTTTTGGTATTTCATTATTAGTTGCCTTGGTGGCTTTCTTTTTCCAGGAATGTTATCTAGAATTTTGTCTTATTGTTGGCTCTTGGCTTTTGGTTAAACCTGTTTAGCTTGTGTTTGCAGAGTCCATGCTTTGACTGATGAATGTTGTTGGAAAGAAGAATTAGCTACTAACCAAAGGCATTCTTTTGTCAAGCAAAACCTTGAGGCACCATAACTGCCAGCATAAAATCAGTGTCTGTGTAAGGCTGATGCGCAACCGGCATGCTTAGCGGCAGCTGTCTTGAGAAAATGAGTGTATTTTGTACTTTCATGCGGTACGGTATTACGCCGAAATTCGGAATTAAAGTCGCAAAGCATGCCGGTTGCGCAGGAGCGTTTGATAATTCGTTTGGTGGTCCATTTATACAATTTGGCAGCCAATTGGAGAAATGTTAAATAAAGTATACTTTTCATGATAGGCCTGTTTCTCGATAGTATGGGTTACACGAGAGCAAGTAGTTATTCCTTTTCTAGCATGGCCCTTGGCTTTCATTACAAAATGATATGCTAAGCAGACTCGACGGTCGATGGACGTTAGTGTACCAGTGAGTAGACAACCCAGTGTCGTAAAATGTAGTAAATATATCTCACTCAAGAAAATCGAAGAAGAAATGTAGTCTTTGCATCTATGCGATAAAAGATTACAAGACAATTTGGAAAGATGTTGAAAAAAATTAGCCTTGATTTCAAGGAACCTTGTCTTTTTAAAAAATATTAATATAAAGCAAAATATATTAGCTGTTAGAGACTCTAAACTCTGACAGTCAGTCTACGGGTTAATGCTATCAAGTTTCTTTAAAATTACGGTTGTATCAAAGATTTCCTTTGAATTGTCAATGTTCACATCACATTTCCTTTACCAAGAAGTTAAAATGATCCAGCTGTCTATTCTATTCTATGCACACTAGAACCTGACCAATGTCCTCAAGTATTTCTTGCTCTTGCCCTGGCCATCAGTGCTTTGACTGCATGATCTTTGCGCTGCTCTGCATCCTCCAGTTCTGCTTGGATCTTGTAGTATTTTGTTTTGAATAGGTCTGCTTCTGCACGCTGTCAATGTAAATAAATATTTCAGCACATGCACCACCTCCCGATCGCCCGTGCGCACGCCTGCGCCCGCACGTACAGCATAAATGTCAAACTCTTTTCCTTCTTCACTCACGTTTACTCTAAGTCCCAGATTTCTCTAATAAGTGTAATAAGTTTATTTCCACCGTGTATCCTCTAGTAAGATCACAACCTAAGAGAAGAATCCGGAAAACACATCTGAAATACAAA